AGTCTATGGCATCACTCGTGACATTTTGGGAATGCAGGAAGACAGGAAGGAACTCTAGACAACTCTATTTCTGTAATACAAAGGACAATTCCTCCTCAAAAAACCCTTGCAGCCAGATGGATTTCAAAATTCAGATTTTTTTTTTTAGAAAGGTAAACTGTACATACACCATATGCGCCAAAACACCCTCAGTAAGGGCTGGAGTGGCCTTTTCATGAAATACACTGATTTTGTGCAATGAAAATATATGAATGACGTTAAGTGTGTGTTTATCTGTTGCAATTTCATAAACACGCCTCAAACATTAGTGGTGTAAAATGACAGTGGTGTTTATCTGTTCATGAGTCTGTGGCTCAGGAATTTGGGCAGAGTTTGGCTGGAGGCTCTTCTGCTCCATGTGGTGTTGGTTGGAGTCATTCACGCAGCTGCTTCCCAGTGGGCAGGCCTAGGAAACTCCAAAAGGCTTCACTCATTCTGTTCACTCGCATGCTGGCACCTCAGCGCTCCTCCACCTGGCCTCTCTCCACGAAGCTTAGGCTTCCTCCCAGCATGGTGGGCTCAGGGTTTCCTACTGAATAAATTGTCTGCAAACTTAAGAGGAAATTCTTGGTTTTCAATTTTTTATTTTTTAAAATACATTTTTATTGATTTCAGAGAGGAAGGGAGAGGGAGAGATAGAAACATCAGTGATGAGAGAGAATCATTGATCGGTTGTCTCCTGTAGGCCCCCTACTGGGGATGGAGCCTGCAACCCGTGCATGTGCCCTGACTGGGAATTGAACGTGACCTCCTGGTTCATAGGTAGATGTTCAACCACTGAGCTACACCAGCCGGGTGGTTTTCAACTTTTTAGATTTCAGAATTACAAAGAAGCAGTGGAACACTGGTTGTTGACCAGTTGGCTGCTCCTTTCTAACAGCTACCTAAACTCAGGTGCTCATATTCTGTCTAGAACACTCCTGATTGGCATCCATTCCTCCAATAATATATTCATCCAATCCGCCCCCCGCCCCCATTTTCCTGCAAGAATTATTGTCCTGAAACCCCAGGCTCAAATCTGGGCTAACATCCCACACTAGCAGTGTGAAAGCCTCTATAAAGTGGTTGAATCTCTTCCCAGCCCTTTACCCAACCAGCCTAGAATGCTTGCCAGGCCTGCCCAGCCCCCAGTACATAGTCACATGTTTGTGCAGGTATGACCATTTTATGCCCACAATCACCTCTTCTCAATCTAGAACGCCTCCTACCTTCAGCCACAGCTCAAATTCTGCGTCCTTCAAGTCCCATTTCAAAAGCCACTTTCTCTATTATTTCCTCTGGATTTCCACAATGCTTGTTCTTTTCTTTAGAATTCATTAATTTTTATGCACTTCTCTTTACTATTTCTTGGGGAACTATGAATCACCTTTTCTTTGTTTCCTACCACTGCCACGGGGGAGTGCTGAGACCCGAACGTTATTGTTAAATGCAGAAAAATATCAAAGGAAATAAGGGTAGACCCTGCCCTCCCATAAAAGACTTTATGCAGAAGAGAGCTTTGAGCTGAGACTTGTGGGAAGTATATGACTTGTAAAAATGGATGAGAAGGTGGGCAGGCGAGGACATCACCACCTGGAACCCAGGCCATTCAGTGGGGACCCGGGCTCATAAATAATTCACTGAAAAAAGTGGACACCCTGTGACTTCCACCTGCTATCTGAGGAAGAGAAGATTAAGGGGCATTCTCATTTATGAAGTACTTTTCATAGACTAGCCGATCATGTTTCTCTTCATTATTATTCTAGTTTAAAATTATCTGTGGTTGTTTCAGGCAAGAATCATCAATGGATATTAGAATTAGTGGGTGACAGTATGATGGGGGAAAAAAAGGGGATCTTTATCTCATCTCGAAGTATTTCCCTAGAAGATACTATTCTCCCTTCCTAATTCATAAGTAATTTTGCAATGGAGAAACTTGTGAGCCACCAGCAGATTTCGAAATTAATATCACCAGACAGCATGTACCTCCTGCTATGATGCACTGAGTAAGATACAACATCACTTCTGTGGTATTCTTACCAAAATAAATATCCTGAATTTAATCATGATGAGAGAACAGATAGGCTAAAATGAAGGGGCATTTTATTAAGAGCTGTTAAAAATAAACAACAGACCCAAAATAGAATCACTCTTGCTAAGCCCCATCAAGACTTAATTCCTAACTTAATTGCAGTTAGAGCCTCTCCCAGGAGTGGAATTTTAAACCAATTAGTCTGGAATTTCCTGGTCAGTCCTAGTGAGATAATTTGCCTGATAACTCCCCCGCCCCCCTCCGCTTCTTCTCCTTAAGGGAGGGTGGCTTTGCCTGAAATAATCCACTCTTTTAACTTGCTTATCCCACTCTTTTTGCCTATAAGACCCTTCCATTTTGTACAACTCCTCCAAGCACCCTTCTAATTGCTAGATGAGACACTGCCCAATTCATTAATCACTTAAAAAGGCCAACTAGAACTTTACGTGTACTCAGCTGAATTTTTATTTTTCAATATTATTTTGGCCCAGCAGGTGTGGCTCAGTGGTTGAGTGAACCAGGAGGTCATGGTTCGATTCCCTGTCAGGGCACATGCCCAGTGTTGTGGGCTCGATCCCCAGTAGGGGTCATGCAGGAGACAGCCGATCAATGATTCTCTCTTATCACTGATGTTTCTATCTCTCCCTTCTATTCTTCTTTGAGATTAATAAAAATATATTTTAAAATATTATTGTGTTTTAGTTTCAGGAGGTGTACATAGTGGTTAGACTATCACATACTTTATAAAGTGTGTCCCCCGATATTTCCAGTACCCACCTGGCACCAGGCATAGTTATTACAATATTATTGACTATATTCCCTATGCTATACATCCTCATGACTGTTTTGTAACTACCAATTTGTATTTCTGATTTTTTACAGAGAGGAAGGGAGAGGGATAGAGAGTTAGAAACATCGATGAGAGAGAAACATCAATCAGCTGCCTCCCGCACACCCCCCAATGGGGATGTGCCTGCAAACAAGGCACATGCCCCTGACCGGAATCGAACCTGGGACCCTTCAGTCCGCAGGCTGACTCTCTATCCACTGAGCCAAACCAGTCAGGGCCCAATTTGTATTTCTGAATCCCTTCACCTTTTTTACCCAGTCCCCTAAACCCCCTACCCTCTGGCAATCATCAGTCCATTCTCTGTGTCAATGAGTCTGTTTCAATTTTGTTTGTTTTATTTTGTTCTTTACATTCCACATATAAGTGAAATCATATGGTATTTGTCTTCCTCGAATTGACTTATTTCACTTAGCATAATACCTTCTAGGTCCATCCATACTGTCACAGATGGTAAGATTTCATTCTTTTTTATGGCCAAGTAATATTCCATTGTGTATATCACCACAACTTTTTTATCCACTCATCTAGTAATGGGCACTTGGACTGCTTCCATATCTTGGCTATTGTAAATAAAATTTCAGTGAACATAGGGGTGCATATATTCTTTTGAATTAGTGTTTTGGGTCTCTTCAGATATATACCCTGAGGTGGAATCAATGAATCATCTCATTGTTACAATGTGAGAATTTGGGCCTAGCATTGCCAGGGATACGGATTTTTAAATATTGGTAACTAATGTCCATTCTTTTAAAACACAATGTGCCACCTTTGTGGGCTGAACAAAATGTATCTGAGAACTGTCAATTGGCACCGTTAGATTCAAGCAAAGGGATAGGCCCTTTTCTCCCTCCCAGCCCCCTCAGACCCTGACTTCCCCTTGGAGGCCCTCTAGCTGCCTAGGAGGACAGATTTTAGGTAGAGAGGATGACTCCAAGAGCAGAGTAGCTGGAGGAAATACTGAGGAGGGGGTGAGTAAAATGTGAAATAAATGAAATGGTACTGAGGGCAGAAGAGGATTTTCTGAAGCCAAGGAAGGGTAAGGCTGGGAAAATATAGAATCAGTTTATTTAGAAACTAGAGGCCCAGTGCACGAAATTTGTGCACCGGTAGGGTCCCTAGTGGCTGCCAGATGCCAACTGCTGGTTGGGGCCTTCCTTCATTCCATGCTGCCCCCCTGGTGGTCAGTGCACATCATAGCAAGCTATCAAACTCTGGGTCGGTCGAACTCCCAAGGGGACACTTTGCATATTAGGCTTTTATATATATAGATGGGGTTCTTGGAAGATGTAATAATAATCACAACTAAATAGTAACGTATTTATTATTGGCCTATTTTGTGTGAAGCACTGCCTTAACTCTAAATAGTTCCATTAAGTCACTGATTTTTTTAAAAAACCTTAGGGATCTCAAAGATGGACTCCCCAAAGTTTTTAGCTGTGTTCACTGGCTCAAAAAACATTTGATACCTACAATGTACCATGCACTACTGCAGCCCACAGCTCAGTAAGATACTGTCCCTTCCCTTAATGAATATGTCATTAAGAGGGTGGGAGAGTGACCAGTAAATTACTGATGGGTGGGATCCCTGCCAGGCCAGCCCACACAGGGGGAGGGTGGCAAGGAGGCCCAGGGCCAGTTTCCTCTAAGAGAAGACATTTAAACTGATTTCAAGGGCCATTCAAAGTTAACAAAGCAAAGAATACGAGGATAGAGGATAAAATTCCAGGAGGAAGGACACCACCCCTCTGATCAGGAACCACCGGCCCAGTGTGTTTGCTGAGAGATGTGGCCAGAGGGAGTTTCAGCCTTTCTTGCCATCTCGCATAGAAAGCAGTGGGCCCTCGCTGCTCCTTCTCCATGTGGTTCTTAAACTGTGCTTGGCAAAGGGAAAGATGTGGAGAAATTCCACCAGTGAGCATTTATGAAGGTTGAGGTTATACCATACCTTCCCCCGTTTGAGACATGGGAGGGGTGCGGGAATGTGTGTGTGTGTGTGTGTGTGTGTGTGTGTGTGTGTGTGTGTCTTTTACGTATATGTAATTTTTGTTAAAGGGATGAGTAAAGTAGGGTCATATACTTGAGACTCTTGGTCTGCATACATTTTTTCCCCCCTAGCAATTAGTTTTTTTAAAAGCCTGTAGAAAATTAAATTAATAATATATATGATAGTCTACAAAACCAAAGGTCAATAAGAGGACTGGGAGGTGGGGAAGGTAGCCATGAACTTTCTCCTGCAGGGTGGCTTAGTGGACCCCCCACGCAGGTTGCAGAGTGGAAAATCACTGAGGTTTGTTGAAGGACGGGCAGCTTTTCCGGCAACACGTCTTGCAGGGACCCATGTATCACATTCAAACCAGGAAGCAGATGACAAATCACAAGCAGATGGAAACCCATGAATGGACTGTATCTGAGGGTGAGGCCCAAGTGACATGGACACTGGTTTCAGGGAGGATATCCGCTGAGTTTGGAGTAGACCCCGCCCCCCACGCCGCCCCCTCCGGGGCAGAGTGATGGGAAATGGGAAGGCAGCGCTGCCAAAAATACCTTGTGCTTATTATTGGTGCCTTGCCGGAGTTCCATGGGCCAAAACCTACAGGCTTTATTTGTAGGACAGAAAATTCCAGGCTCTGGTAACAATTTGAAACAGAGGTGAAGTTGAAGACCCTAATGCCAACACCTTTTATTTATTATGTTAATTACGCACCCACTCGTGAATTCCTCTGCCCGAGGTACTGGATGAGCAAAAACCTGTCCTTCGGAGGAAGTGCCAAGAATTTTCTGAAATGAAATCAGAAGCGCACAAGAAAAAATGGGCGGCAGAGATGAAACACAGAATAATTATATTCATCATGTGCCTCCCCAGAAGATTCTCGGAGAGGGACATAGTAGGCCAGCAATTTAAGGAGTGGATATTTGCTTACCAAGTACTTTGGCCTTAGAAAGGATTAATTGGAGAGTTTTGTTTATAGATGAGTTTGATTGAGGAGAGATGATAGAGCTGAGAAATTTAAAGGTGACAGGGATCTTTATCCAAAGAGTCATCACCAAGAAGCACCAATAAAACACCAAATGTGTACAAAAGGATACATTTAAGTATGCATTCTTGAAGAGTTGCTGGCAAAAAGTCAAAAGATAAAACTCAGTGTAGGGTTGCTTGAGAAATTCTATTGCCTATTTATAATGCTCCAAGTCACCCCCTCATTTATTAGTTTTTTAATTTCCGTGGTCAGCTCCACTTTGCTCAAAGGTAAGTACCTGTTCCTTTGGTCACAGCATGTACTTGTTTTGGGTGTTGGGAGACAGGCTTTGAGCTTGGGTAGCACAGCCTCCTTTGCATAAGCTGAAGTCATATTAGCATCAAGTTTATGACTGGATGACAGTTTGCACTCCAGTCCCTTCCCTTCCTTGCGGTGGCGAATCTGTAACCAGAAAAGCCAGTTGGATCTCCTGGCTCACTCATCGGTGGGGGCTGATGGAGAAGGAGCAGGTGGGCTGTCTTCATGGGATCTACACCTTTCAGAGTCAGGAATCCTGGAGGCTTGCCTGGGAGAGCCTCATATGTATCATAAACTTGAGAGAATTGTGGCACTGCCAGCAACGATGGCATTCACCATGGACACCTCGCCTGGCAGATAAGCCCTCAGTAAGATCTGGGGAGAGAATGGGGTAAAAAAAAAAAAAGTGGTAGTTTTCATAAAACTAGAGTTTTGTGGGACCTTGAAACAGGTCATGTGGACAATTGAGACAGAGCCTCCCACATTTTCATTATTTTTATGACTGTCTCCATCTCTAGGGATGGATCACACCCACCCCATCACACAAGGAGGACTTTCCATAGGTTTTTTTTAGACCCAAATTAGAGATCAAAATCCTCTCCAGCAGTCTTTTTAGTTATTTTGCAAGTCTTACATGACAGAGACGTGTCTTTGAAGGTCCCCTGTCCCCTCCTTCCTTGAACAATGGAACTCTAAGCTTTTAGGTGGACACACAGCCAGCTGGTTAAGGACCTTTCCCAGCCTCCCTCACAGTTAAGTGTGGCCATGTGGCTAAACAAATGAAAATAATAATAATAGCTTTCACTCCTATGTGCCAGGCAACTATCCTGAGTGCTTTGGGTATATTAACCCATTTAATCTTCACATTCACTTCAGGAAATATTAAGAAACAGAGGCACAAAGACATTGAGTGACTTGGCCAAGACCACACAGAAAGTCAATGGTGGAGCTTGGCTTTCAACCCCAAACGCAGGCCCCGGCGTTGCATTCCAGCTCACATTCAGCCGCACAGGATGTGAGTAGAACTTCCAGACTGTGCCCTCGAAGGGGAGAGGCTTGCTCTCCGTCGCCCCACTCTCCTTCCTAGAAATCACCATCTTCAACTACAGGATGGAAGGCACATGTAGAGGAGCCTGAGTGCCCAACACCATAGGACCTTAGCCTTTCAGTCTGGACTCCTGATGCTCAGCTTGTCACACACGAGAGAAGGAGACCTTTATCTGACTTTCATCTCTGGCATTTGGGGAAGGAAGGGAAGTTACATCCTAACTAACTTACCTTAGGTAAAGAGGGAGGTCGTGGAGGAAGAGACACAATGTCTTTGAGCACCTACTGTCTACAGGCATACCTGAGATATTGCGGGCTCGGTCCCAGGCCACTGCAATAAAGTGAGTGTCGCAGTGAAGTGAGTTGAGATCTTCTTTTGCTGGTGGAGGGTCTTGCCTTCAGTTTTTTTGCAAAAAAATCAACATCTGTGAAAGTGAAGTGCAATAAAGCCAGGTGTGCCTGTATCCAGGGTCTTCAGGCATTATCTCCTTGGCCCCACACAGAAGTTCTGCAAATGGGCAGCCTTAGCCGGGATCTGCAATGAGGAATCTGAGGGTCAGGGGGGTTCAGTCACTTGCCTGAGAGCACGTAGTTTGGTTGAGAGTTTGGCTAAAATTTCAACAAACCTTTCCCAAAGGCCTCTTTCTCACCATTCTACAGTGAGTCATTCATAAGAGGCAGGTCTACGTCTCTGTCATGGTTCACAGCCCTTTCATTAGTTACTCCTCAAAGCAATCTGATCACATTGGTACTCTGAGTTCCATTTTGTGGATAAGAAAACAAGACAAACAATTATATCCCCAAAGTCAACAGAAGGCCAAGGTTTTAAAAGCCACAGCTGCAGAAAATCAAGGCTGTTGACTGTTCTACACATAGAACCAATCTGGGAACCCAGAAGTCCTCATTCTTGAAATCTGTGAAGTGTCTTCTCATTTGTATGAATTCAACGGTGGAGGATGGGAGTGGAGGCAGGTCAGTTGTTGGTGGCACAGAAGTGCTGCTAACCTGAGTTTTAGAGGTTTTTCCTAAAAGGTTTAACTATAGTCAAGGGTTATTGGTCACATCAGACCTTCCAGATTGCAGGGGACAGTCGCATAAAACTCCAACCTGGAAGCTGACCCTCTTCTGGAGACAAAGGCGATGGTTCCCAAGGTTCTCCCTCACTCTGCCCATGGATGGCCTCAAGATGGGAGACCTGAGACCCCCCAGTCCCAAGTCCTGTGGCGCCCCCTCTCTTCCTTCCTGCAGGAGACCAGCTATCTCTGTTCCTGGTCTACTGGGGGGAAATGCTGGCCAAAAGTTCCCCACTACATAACCTCCTGGGATAACAAGGGCAGCCAGACTGAGATGGCATTTGCATCTATCACCCAAATTCCCCAGCAGGGGGCCCAACACTGTAGCTTAAGCCCACTGCCTGCCTCCTCGCCCCATTGACAATGGCAGGTGCACTTGCATCCTGTGGGATTGGGGAGGGTCACTCCCCTAGAATCAGTAAGGACCAGATGACAGTTCAGGGGTCCTCACTCCACTCTAGCTGCACGTTAAGATCACCCAGGGAACGTAAAAAAACGATCAAAGTCCAAGCTCCACCCCCCAGAGACTATGATTTAGTTGGTCTGGAGGGGGTGGAGTCCTGCCATTGGTGTTTTGGGGAAAGTTCCCCAGGTGATTCTTTGTAGGCCACAGTAGGTTTTCTGCAATGTATCTTAGCAAAGAACCCTTTCAAAACGAAGGAATCAGTGCTGAACATTCTATCTCTATTAGGATGGCAAGTTCCAAGAAAGCTGTTATCCTATTTGTGCTATTGGACTTAGGCTTACGGATGGTAAATAGCTCCAGGCAAGAATGCAGCCCTAACCGTTCCTCTTGTATCTTTACAAGAATCGATTCTGGGACTGCCTGCCTGCCTAATTCTCTACCCCTGCCCAGTCCAGAGCCGCACCCCTAGGGGTCAGCCTGGAGCTCGCTCTCTCCAGGCTGCTTTCTGAAGGCAGGGGAAGGTGGAATAAAGATGAGGCCTCCTGGTGCTCCCCTCCCTGTCCACAGCACAGAACGCCATGTTTTCTTCATCCGATGTCTGAACCCAGGGCAAGTTTCCACTTTACTTATGATCTCCGCCTCTGGACTGCGCCCATCAAGCAGGCTCCTGTTTTCTCTCCGCCAGATAGCATCAGAGGGCAACAATTGAAAGCGACTTCGGAACAATTGTCCTTTTATACAAGGTGACCCTCACGGGGGGGAGGGGCTTTGCTTTATTATCCTCCAAATTAGCTTCACGGGAAAGGATCTGGGCCCCTCCCTCCCCCAATGTCCGTCATCACCCCGATCCTGGGCTTTTCCTGGTCACCTTTCAATCTCCCCAACTCCCTCCTTGTTCATTTCTTGGGAAAGAGTCAGGTTACCTAAGATGGGTTGAGGCAGATGTTGAAACTCAAAACCAGAGAACTTAAATCTGTGGGAGGTAGGCGGCCTGCAGCAATCAGTGACGGGTGGAATATGGCAGAGATGACATAGAAAGACTGAATGAACCAGGAACCTCATCATCTCCCCAAGTCTGGCTTAGATGAGCGGCCAATGGAAACGATGAAAATAGGCCACAGTTCCTTAGGTCTTCCTTTAGCAGGGCTTAAAGTTGAAGGATGAGTTTCTGTGTGACAGGTTGGGTATGGTGGGCAGTGAGGTTGCCTCCCCCACATTTATCATACCCTCCATCATTGGGGGGGTGTCTGCAAAACTGTTCATGTATCTGAAGAGAAGATCTTTGCTGTCATCAGAGCTTCAAGAATCTGTGACTCAATTCATTCAACAGCGTTGGATAACTATTGGGGGCTGATGACACAGACACTGAGCTAGGCACTGAGAATAAAGCCGTGAACAAAACAGGCAAAATCTCTGTCCTCATAGAACGTTCATTCCAGACGGGGAGACAGAAAATGGATTGTAAATGGGGAGAAGAGCCATGTGGAAAGATAAGGGAGGAAAGAGGGAAGGAGGTGTGTGCTGCTTATCTAGCCGGGAAGACCTCTCAGGAATGGTGGCATCTTCCCAAAGACCCGACAGGAACAATGGAGCGTGTTCCCCTGGGAAGATCTGGGAGAGAACCTTCTGGGCAGAGGGAACAGCGAGAGCAAGGACCTCAAGGAGAGGCACCGAGGGCCAAAAAGGGAACCGTGTGGCTGAAGGGGAATGAACAGGAGGGAGGCAGTACAGGTGGAGGTCAGAGAGGCGTTGGGGACAGATGCTGCGGGGTCTTCTAGATGGTGGCAAGGACCTTGGAATTTCTTATGAGTGAGGAAAGGAAGCCATTGGAGGGTTTCAAGCAAAGGAGGGGCCCATTCAGACCTGGGTTTTGGAAGGGTCGCTGTGACACTACAGAGCAGAGACAGCAGGGAGACCCGTGAGGAGAAAACTGCAAAAACCTAGATAAGCAATAATGGTGGCTCGATCCCGCTGGTCCTGAAACTGTGGAGGAGGCGGGAAGTGGTGGGTTATGGGTATATTTTCAAAATAGAGCCAACAGGATTTTCTGAGGGATTGAGGAGAAAGAAGAACCAATGATGACTGCCAGGGTTTTGGCCTGAAGATCAGGAAGGATGGAATTGCCATTAACTGAGATGGGAAGTCAGTCAAGACTGCCCCAGGGTGACATCACTACTGGTGACAATAAACCTCTTGCTCTCTCCAGCTGCTTCCTGTCCATCCTGGCACCCAGAGAGGTATAAATAACAAACAAACAAACAAACAAGACTTTTCTGAAGACAATGATGACTACTGGAGGCTAGCCCTAGAAACTTGGAGAGAGCTATTGGTTTTTATAACTAACTAGAGGCCCGGTGCATGGATTTGAGCACCTACTGTGTACAGGCATACCTCAGAGATATTGCGGGCTCGGTCCCAGGCCACTACAATAAAGTGAGTATCTTAGTGAAGTGAGTTGTGATCTTCTTTTGCTGGTGGAAGGTCTTGCATTCAATTTTTTTTGCAAAAAAGTCAACATCTGGGAAGTGAAGTGCAATAAAGCCAGATGTGCCTGTATCCTAGTTGGAGGTGTGTGCGGGAGGCAACCAATCGATGTGTCTCTCTCACATCGATGTTTCTCTCTATCTCTCCCCCTCCCCCTTCCACTCTCTTTAAAAATCAATGGAAAAATATCCTCAGGTGAGGATTAACAACAACAATATATTTTTTAAAAAAAAAAAAAAGGAAAAAAGAAATATGTCGTTGCATTTAAGTTCCTTGATGGTATCAGAGCAAGAGTTTCTATTTTTTATTCTTTGGTGGTGGAGGAGGCAGTGGGACATAATCTAAATATATTTGAATCTTCTATTAAATTATCTTATGCCAGATCGCCACATTGGGAGAAAGTGTCTCTCCTCAGACTGGGACTGGGGCTGGGCTAACAGCAGGGGATGGTGAGGGGAGTCAGTGATTAAGGTAACTCCCCTGAGCCCTGGAAATTACCATCTTTTAAATGGAAACATGCCCAGCTTTTTTTTTCTTTTTTCTTTTTCAAACAGGTTTACCATGTGACTTCAACTCCATTCTCTCTTTTCTCTTATGTTCCAACCACATCTGGGTTCTAATAAAGACCACGCGGAGACTCATTTGCTAGTGAATAGTCAATATTTTTGTATCTAAGGACTGTACGCTGTAGGCAAATGCAAGAGGCTTGGGCTGATTTTAGGCACGAACAAAAGCTGGCCTATTTTAAATAGTGCTGGTCACTGGATCTCTCTAATCCTGACCTGGGAGGCAGTAGTGTAGCCAAAAGCACAGATTCTGAAGCCAGAAGACCTGGCTTTGAATCCCAGCTCTGCCGTTTCTCGCTGTGTGACTGTTAACAACTGATTTTACCTGTAATATTTCAACTGTAAACCAGGGATCCTCATAAGAGCACCCACCTTCTAGTGCTAGTGTCAGAATTATATTAATTAATACCGTAAAGCATTGAGAACAGCTACCACCTGCTACCAGATAACAGTAACCATTGGCAGTTATGATCTCATCATTACATTGCAAGTATCAAATGAGTTCATACATGTAAGGTACTCAGCATAGTTCCTGGACATGGGATGTTAGGTATCACTTTCACCCTTTGTTCATTTGGGCAACACGTTTTTAGTGAGCAGCTACTGTGTGCCAAGCCCTGGTTTGGGTAAGGGGGGTGGGGGGAGAGACAGCAGTGAAGAAAATAGACTAATCCCCTGCCCTTTTGGAGCTTACATTTTAATGCTATTATAGTAGACATCAGGGTTAACCTTACCATGAAGGGCATGGAGCTTAAGCCATAAGCTCCTCAATTGTACAGGTCCTTCCATAGGCTCAATGAGGGTCCCTAACCAATGTCTTCGATTTCTCACCTGATTTTGTACTCATAGTTGTGTATACTCTCTGTACAGGTCCTTCCACAGGCTCAATGAGGGTCCCTAACCAATGTCTTCCATTTCTCACTTCTCACCTGATTTTGTACTCATAGTTGTGTATACTCTTTCTTAAGTGAGCCCTCAAAACTGCAAAAGCTTCTGACCCCACAAAGCCTGGGTCTGCCTTCAAGATCATTATTATTTAGGTAACAATAGCATATTATTATTATTTTTTTTATTTTTTATTTTGGAAAATGAGGCAATGCTGTAGGTGACTTCCAAGGTGTTATATTATTACCCTGAATCTTTGTGCTTTTAAGTATCCCAAAGAAGGTGAACTCACAGGCTGGGGAGAGAGCCTTATGTATACAAATCAGGGTTACTGCATCTCCTCCTTTGTCACCTCCCACGTCCCTGTTGGCACATTGCACCATCTAGTTAATAGCCTGAAATCTCTTCTGGAAAGAAAATTGCTTGCAATGAAGAGTTGTCTCAAGGCTGTGGACTGGGCTAGGATTCTTTTAGTAGGAAGGGGGTTCTGAGACCATGGACCCCCAAACCCTCAATTTATAGATACAAAGGGAACCTGGATGGGTGGGTGCTCAGATCTAGGGCATGAACTTCCTCCTCTCCTTACAGCAGCCTGGACCCGGCATCCGGACAGGGCCAACCCACATTTGTCAAAATGTCATGGAGTGTGTGTTCAGGTATTTTCTCACAGTGCACCTTCTGCTCGGGCACCTGCAACCCACATGCAAATATAATTTCCAACCTGCCCGATGGAGTGGCCTGTTTGGATGGCAAACAAGACTTTGCTCCTTCTGAGTGCCTCTGTACACCTTACCTCACCCCATGCAGCTGACTTGGGAAAACAAACGTATTTGTTGATAGGCACAGCCATTAGAGACGCATGCAGAACATTTACTTGACAGGGTTCTAACTAAGTCCCTCTAGGAAAAAAATAAAATAAACTTTTGGTTTTTGGATTGGAAATACCTAAGCAAGTAGGTTTTTTAAATAGTTTGACATTTTAACCCTAGCAAGGTGTGGTCTCATATCAGTATCTTGTGCTGTTTTTTGCCATTCTGAAAAAAAAGTGTAAAATAGAATTGCCTGTCATATAGATCTTTGGGAGGAATTACATGCAAAATTAATTTACTCCTTAAGCCAGACAAGCATATATAATGATCTTCTGTAGCTAGGATTGCAGTTTTTTGTTTTTGTTTTTTAAAGTGCTGGGAATAGCAATTGTGTGCAAAAGGGAAGATTTGGATGAGGGCTTTCAAATAATTACTCTATTAGAGCTGGTTTATTAACTTTTGATATTAAATGAATATATTTATGGAATACTTATTCTAAGAACAAATTATCTTTAACCTTCTCCATGTATCGAAATGCTCACACAACTTTCAAAAATGACACTGGGCAACCTTTTAAAAATGCCTTTCAGCCCTGGCCAGTGTGGCTCAGCTGGTTGGAACATTGTCCCATATACCAAAAGGTGGTGGGTTGGATTCCCAGTCAAGGCACATGGCCAGGTTGTGGGTTCGGTCCCCAGTTGGGGTGCATGCGGGAGACAGCCAATTGAGTTTCTCTCTCACATAGATGTTTCTCTTTCTCTAAAAAAAAAAAAATCAATTAAAAATCAATTTAAAAATGCCTTTCATACAATGGCTGTTTAAATAAACATCCTTCACAAGTTAAATAACTTAATTGCCCATGATTTTTAAAAGAATAGCTTTAAAGTACGAGGGGATCTGAAATGGATGGTCATTTTGATTTCAGTTGTTTTGTTTCCCCAGCCAGTTCCTTCCTTTTTGTTACCATCACACATTGTATAAACTCCCATCAGAACCAGGGACTGTCTGAATTTACACATCTTGTCTGGGTATCATATTAATAGCGTCTCCTGTGACCCTCAAAACTGTCCCACCTTCAGGATAAATTACCTGGTCGCCCTAATGATAGTGCAGGCCACACCGGGTTCTGGTGTCTCCCTGTGGACACTCTGGGTTCCTTGGGGAGGGGACCCCTGTCTTTGTTCTTTTTACCCTTTTGTCCTCAGTGCCTAGAACAGGATCTGACACACGAGAGCTACTCGGGACGTGTTTACTGAAGATTAACAGCCAGCCAGTCACCAAAGGACTGATATTTCCTAGTGAGATATATTGAGTAAGGGCAGCCGTAATGATTTCATTCTATTTGCTGAATTGGGCTTGAGCCTATTAGCTAATCAGCAGTTGGCCATTAGTATGGTCGACAAAGAAACAGTGACAAAAGAAAAAAATACCAGGCAAAGGAAAACAGAGGAGGAGGAGAACATGACCCAAAGCCAGGCAGTGTTCCAAATACAGAAATGACCCCAGCATCTTTTTAATTAACAGGATCTGCTACTGCAGAACCAAAGTCTGGAAAATGCAATCTGCCCTGCAGTCAAAAATTATAAAGATCTTCCAATATTTACAGTCATATACCTGGAAAGGTAAAATTGTTTCTAGTATACGACGTGCTTATAGCTGTAGAACATATATATATTTTATTGATTTTTTACAGAGAGGAAGGGAGAGGGATAGAGAGTTAGAAACATCAATGAGAGAGAAACATCGATCAGCTGCCTCCTGCACAACCCCTGCTGGGGATGTGCCCGCAACCAAGGTACATGCCCTTGACCGGAATTGAACCTGGGACCCTTCAGTCCACAGGCCGACGCTCTATCCACTGAGCCAAACCGGTCAGGGCAAGAATGATATATTTTGATCTTGAAAACAAAAATGATACTTTATAGAAAGAATTATAATAGTTGTCTGATCCCTTAGGAAAAGACCCAGAACCCTTGGGGAAATGTATGCTAAGATGCAGTTTTAATATTATGTAGTTTACTTTTATTTAGCAGGATAGTAGAAATAGTCATTTTGATGCATACATTTATTCTCTTATTGAACTTATTTCCACTAGGAGGGTATTTGGAAGTAGGTTAGGTCATGAGGGTGGACTCCTCCTGAGTAGGATTAGTGACCTTATAAGAGGAGGTCAGAGAGCTTTCTTTCTTTCTTTCTTTCTTTCTTTCTTTCTTTCTTTCTTTCTTTCTTTCTTTCTTTCTTTCTTTCTTTCTTCTTTCTTTCATATATTTTTATTGATTTCAGAGAGGAAGGGAAAGGGAGAAAGAGATAGAAACATCAATGAAAAGAGAGAGTCATCAATAGGATGCGTCCTACACCCTCCCTACTGGGAATCAAGCTCACAACCTGGGCATGTGCCCTGACTGGGAATTTAACTGTGACCTCCTGGTTCATAGGCCGACGCTCAACCACTGAGCCATGCTGGCTGGCCTAGCTTTCTTTCTTTCTACCTTGTGAGGATACAACCCAGAGAATGGATTTCACCAGAACCCAGTACTGGCACCCTGACCGCAGATCTCCAGGCTTCCAGAAACGTTAGAAATAAATTTGTGTTGTTTATAAGCCACCTCATTGATGATATTTTGGCATAGCAACCTAAACTAAGACAAGTGAAAAAGAAGTTGCAAAAATAGTTCAGAGAGGTTCCAGGGACCCTTCACCCTAATGGCCACATCTGAATAGTATACTAGCCAAACCAGAAAATTGACAAGATCATCTCTTTTTGAAATACCTAGCATTTGGGGGATATCCTGACATAAATATGACAAGAGACTCCTTGGACTCTTTACACCCAAATAAAATTATTCTACAAGGTATCTATGTAGTAGCAGGACCGAAGAGCAAGTTTTATTATTATATGTAACCTGACATCAAGTCACAGGCCTGGACAGATGTCAAAATCCAGAAGCCTAGCCCTGGCTGGAGTACTCAGTGGTTAGAGTGTCAGCCCACATACCCAAGGGTTTCGGGTTCGATTCCTAGTCAAGGGCACCTGCCTGGGTTGCAGGCTCGATCACCCATCCCAGTTGGGGTGCAAGGGAGAGGCAACCAATCGATGTGCCTGTCTCATCTCTCTCTCTCTCTCTCTCTCTCTCTCTCTCTCTCTCTCTCTCTCTCTCTCCCTCAAAATCAATGGAAAAAAAATAACCTCTGGTGAAGATTAACAACAACAAGAATCCAGAAGCCTCACAAAACACTGAATGGGCTTTGATGGACTATGTGTTGGTTTAAATTCTGGGCCATCCTACTTTAAATAAGCTGAATTTAGAGTAACAAATGACATCGATGGACCAAACACGGTTATACTTAGTGGTAATGAGATTGAGAATAAATTTTTCTTTA